CAAATCCAACTCAGATCTATGAATCCGTCTGATTATATTTAAATTAGAATTAGATTTAAATGAGTGTTCGTTGTCAACTAGGGTGTTTTGGCAACCAAATAAAAAGTTAATTTTTAATTTTTTATTTATTTTAAGTCATATTATCTCTCATATTTTTTTACTTATAAAAAGGTAAAATAAATTTAAAAAGTGAAAAAAAACCAACATTTTACCAATTTTCCAAAGCACCACTAAATTATAATAAGGTTTAGATGGGTTAGACATAGGTATTCATTTAAGCCCATTTAAATGGGTATCACTTCAATTACTAATTCTAAATTTTTTAAAAATAAAAAATAAGTATATTTTTAATAAATAAATAAATAAATAATATTTTTTTTCAATTTTTTTTTTTAAAGAAACAAAATTGTTTTTAACAAAATCCTTTTTTTTATAAAAAAAAAGAGAAAATAAATGAATTAATTGAATTTATTTGTCTAACTCGTATCCAATTTAACATAATCCATTTAAACTCATTTATTAAATTGAAAGATTTAAATTAAATTACTTTAAAATATATAACCCATTTGGATCTGTCAAAACTCACCCATGCATCATCTCTGATAGCAATGTATCCTAGTAAATTAGCGCCTCACATTATGGAACCAATTAAGTGGTAACAACTCACAAAATCTGAATCCATGTTGATGTTATTATCTAAACCCTAACTTCTTGTTTGATTTGTTTGATTGGATATATAAAAATTTAAAGAGAATATGTAATAATTAAAATTATAGAATAAGATATAATTTGTTTAAGATATGAAATATATTATATATATAAAGTAAATTATAAATACACTTCTTAGAATATGAATCGTTTTCTATGTGGTTCTGAAAATTACATCTTATCTCTTGAAATTTATAATTTCATAACAAATAACCTATTTTATTAATAAATTATCAAATCAATTAATAGTTTTTAATGATGTTAGAAATTTATTTCAATTAATAATTCAGGTAATTTTATTATTCTATAGGAGAGTAATTAGAAATTTTATTTTGTTAAATAAAAAATTATGACAAGGGAGTATTTGTTATTTTTCAAATCACATGGGACAATTTATATTTTAAAAAGATCTCATAGAGTATATTTATAATTTATTCTATATTATATTGTGAGTTTGTTTTTATTATATTCAATTATAGTAGAATATAGAATGGGATAAAAAATCAATTTTTTTTTTATTATACAATATAAATACACAATTTTTCATAAAAAGTTAAAAAATTATCCCAAATAATTATTATTTTTTTCTCTACTTTTTCATCCCAAACAACTCCTAAATCTAATTCGGTAGTGGCATATCACCCACTTTTGAGGGAGATGATATCAGGATTTCCTATATGCCGAGCAATCAAATGCCGAATATATAGAAACAAAAAAAATGTAGACTCCATATTATATATAAAGTTGAGAAAATTTAAACTGTCCGTTATGTTTATTACGAATTTCATTTTGATGATCTGATTAGTTTATTTTGTAAGACACTTAATATATATTATCCATAAAAATAATTAAGTTGATCTAGTAATCGTAACATTTTTATTTTATAGCATTTGTTTTTGAAAAACAAACGATAAGTATATTTTTTAAAATAAATCATATATTTTTAGAGAGACAAATACGATAAAATGAAAAAACTTACGATTATCAAATCAATTTAATTTTTTTTTACAAATAATTTATACAAAATTTTTTACAAAATAAATAATTTAAATTACCAAAATAAGGCTAATAGTAGACCCCATAAGAAGTCTGTAAAATTCTCTCCAGTTGAAATTGAAATTTAAAATAAAAAAAAAATCTAACCCTTATCTATCTATCTATCTATTATAAAGTGAACACTTTTTATGGTGTCTTGAAACCTTTATTTCTTATGCTGCTATGTGTCTACTTTTTTATTTGAAATAAAAAAAAAAAAATTTAGATAGATGAGAGGATTTGAACCTTAGACTTATGTCAAATGAATAAAACTCTTACCACTTAACTAGCACACAATATATGATAAATGTTTTATTTAATTTATCTATACTGTTATAAAGTGAACACCTCTTATGGTGTCTTAAAACCTTTGTTTCTTATGCTATCATGTGTCCACTTAAGCTAAGTACACATTATAATATTAATTTCATTATTATTTTCTTTTATTTCTCTTTATTTAATTTGCACACACATCGTGTGTGCCCAACCGCTAGTCTATTATAAAGTGAACACTTTTTATGGTGTCTTGAAACCTTTATTTCTTATGCTGCTATGTGTCTATTTTTTTATTTGAAATAAAAAAAAAAATTTAGATAGATGAGAGGATTTGAACCTTAGACTTGTGTCAAATGAATAAGACTCTTACCACTTAACTAGCACACAATATATGATAAATGTTTTATTTAATTTATCTATACTGTTATAAAGTGAACACCTCTTATGGTGTCTTAAAACCTTTGTTTCTTATGCTATCATGTGTCTACTTTTTTATTTGAAATAAAATTTTTTTTAGATAGATGAGAGGAGGGAATTTGAACTTTAGACTTATGTCAAATGAATAAGATTCTTACCACTTAACTAGCACACAATATATAATAAATGTTTTATTTTATTTATTTTTATTAGAATTGCACACGCATTGCGTGTGTCTACTTTTTTATTTGAAATAAAAAAAAAATTAGATAGATGAGAGGAGGGGATTTGAAATTTAAACTTATGTTAAATAAATAAGACTCTTACCACTTAACTAGCACATAATATATAATAAATAATTTATTTTATTTATATTTATTAGAATTACACGCATCGTATGTGGCAACCGTTAGTATATAATATTTGAGCAAACAAACAAAGAAACAAGACCCTTTGGTAATTGGCCACCGAAGCATTTTCCCACTTTTTTACGTAACAGCCTCGCTTTGGCCTTTGTTGACGTCTCTCTTAAGCTCTCCTTCCTAACCTCTTTGACCAAAATCTGTTGTGTTCAACGTAAGACAAACAAAAGGAAAATATTATACTTCTCAAATAATTTAAATGTTTATATGAATGTGAATTTTATGCCCATATAAAAAGTAAGAAAACCTATTTATGTAAATAAATAGATCTTACTTCATAAAAATGATATGAGAATTGTTTTTTAAATTTAAAAATTAGATTAATTTTTTAAATCTAATAATGTGGTAACTATTTAAAATATACAAGACAATTCTCTCTCTTTTATATACTCTAATTATCAACTAATAATTTCACTTATATATATCATTAAATTTAAAAAATAAATTCATATATCATTTTTCAAATAATATGAGCTTATGGAATTATATTAAATAATTATATTGAAATAGTAAAAGCCGGTTAACTAAATGATTTTGATTGGTGAGGGTGACAAGAGTTTTCATATGGTACGGGGAAGCAATTTGGGTTTTACATCTTTGTATTTTTATTTTATTTGTGTGTTAATACCTTGTCCACACTTCTAGTGCTATAACCTATTCTGAGATCTCTCTCACGGAGCGTTTGTTAAAATAATAGTTAAAATCTCTTCATTATTTACAATAAAGGGGAATTTTGTAATTTTAAATAGAAAAATAATACACAAAATTCATTTTTTTGCATTGCGCATAAGAGCAATTCCAATCACACTCTTTATTTTTTACTAGCTCAAGTACAAAAAAAATACACTCTTTATTTTATCTAATTAGTTTAGCTATTGTGTGTTCCAACCATACTCTTTATTTTAACTAGTCATTCAAACTAAGGTGTCGTTTGGGAAGAGCTCATTTGGGCTCTTTGAGCCATAAAAGACAGAATAGGCTATTTGAGCCACAACAGACAAAACATCACATCCAACCCATAATCATTACACTCTTCTCTCACAAAAAAAATCAAAAAAGTCAAAAAGCCCTTCCCAAACCAAGCTTTTGAGCTTAGGCTCAAACAGTCAAAAAAGCCAAAAAACCAAAAAGCCAACCCACTTCCCAAACGGAGGCTTAACCAACTTTCAAAACAAAAAATTGGTCCGTTTGGGAAGAGATTTTCTAGGCTTTTTTGGTTATTTTAGCCACAAAAGACAAAATAGGCTATTTTAGCCACAAAAAACAAAACATTACATCCAACTCATAATCATTACACTCTTCTCTCACAAAAAAAGTCAAAAAAGCCAAAAAGCCAAAAACTCCTTCCCAAACCAAACTTTTTAGCCCAGGCTAAAATAGCCAAAAAAGTCAAAAAGTCAAAAAGCCAACCCACTTCCCAAACGGAGGCATATATATTACTGTCTTTTTTATAGAATGCCACATACGCACCAAATGCTAATATGGTTACTAATGTCACATATGCAATAATATTTTGTAATATTAGTTTTAAAAATATTATAAAAAATAATTTTTAAGTAATATTTAATTTTTTTAAATAAAATTTATAGTATGTGAATATATACCAACATATGAATTTTGTGGAACCATTTTGAAGGGGAGGGGAAGAATAAAATAAAACAATGAAGAATTTTTTAAAAAATAAATAACAATACAAAGGAAGTTCTTCAATAATTGTAATTTATCAAATTAAGAACCAAAAGAACACAAATTAGCTAATCAAAAACCTTACAAAAGTCAATGAATAAAATAAGAAAAAAAAATCATAAATAGCAAAGTTAGGAATAAATTTCAAAATAAATAAACTATTTCTAATTCAAGTTGTTACAAATCTCCATGTAGATGCCACAAATGCTCAACTAGGTCTACTTAGAGTTTAGAATGACTTTGTCTATTTTTGATGCGATGATGATTTTGAATGAATTCATAAAGTTCAGGTGTACGCTTGCGTGACACTACTAGAGGGAGACTTTCATCGATTGCATCATAATTATAGTCTATATTTTGTTCATTTCGCCCATCCTCAACAATCATGTTATGCAATATTATACATGCCTTCATAATAACTTTGTGGATTTCAACTTTCCAAAAAGGTGCAAGTCCTCACACAATTGCAAAATATGCTTGGAGCACTCTAAATGCTCGTTCGACATCTTTCCTTGTTGACTCTTGAGCTTTAGCAAAATGTATTTGCTTATTGCTTGGTGAAGATAGGATTGTTTTAACGAATGTTAACCATTGAGGATGTACACCATCAGCGAGATAATATCTCATTGTATAGTCATTTTCATTGATTGAGTAATTAACTTGGGGAGCACGCCCTTCAGTAAGGAGAGAAAATACAGAAGAATGTTCTAGCACATTGATGTGGTTATGAGATCTCGATAATCCAAAAAATGCATACTATATCCATAGATCATAGGAAGCCACCGCTTCTAAAATAATAGTTGGTTCATGGATGTGACCACAATACATACCTTTCTATACAATAGGACAATTCTTCCACTTCTAATGCATACAGTCAATACTCCCCAACATTCCAAGAAACCCACGATTTTTTTCCACCTCTAGTAATATAGCAATGTCATCTTTGTTTGGCATCCTCAAGTACACATTTGAAAAAATTGCAACCACTGCCTCAACAAACCTTTGTAGACTTTCTATTGTAGTATTTTCTCTAATCCTCACATAATCATCTACAGAATCTGCCGCTACTCCATAAGTGAGCATCCTCATAACAACTGTCATCTTTTGAAAGAAAGACAGACCAAGAACTCCAATAGCATCTTGTTTTTGGACAAAATAAGGATCATATGCTTCCACCATAGATAAAATACGAAGAAAGAGACATCGACTCATCCGGAACCTCCTTTTGAATAAATTGGGAGGATATATAGGCGTTTTAGAGAAGTAATTTTGGTAAAGTCTCTTGTGGCTTTGAATTTGATTACGATAAATAACTGCATGACCTTGAATGGAGCTACGACGTAATCCCAATTGTTTCTGATTATTTAGTTGCTCTTGTTCTGAAGCAGCTATTGCAAATATCTCTAATTCACTATCAGAATCAGAGTCATCAATAATCATCTTCATTACACTATTGCGAGCCATTGAAATTAAAAGAAGAATGAAGCTGAGAGATAAACTATTGAAAATAAATATTAGGTTGTGTTTTGCTTCTTAAGCTTTGCAAGTTCTTGCCTAACAACTTCAATTTTCTGCAAAGTCAAATTTATAAAACATGTCAAACAACTTCTAAAATCAAAACACCAGCAACTTACATAATCTATATTTAATTCATCAACTAATAGAAATGTCTTGTAAATAAGTAGCATTTCAATCCAACATACAACAAGCAATTATATTTAGCCCTGGAGTACTTTAGCAAGCATTCAACAAGAATTTCATTCAGTAATTAAATTACTACTAGTTCAAACATTCAACAGTAGGTAGTTCCAAAATAGTTTAAATATATAATAACTAGTCCCAACATAAACTACATAAAAAATATAGTTCTGCTTACAATGGAGAATCAAATCCAACAATAAATAAAGTCAAAAACATAGTCCCAACAACTAAATCTTTTTTGGATAGTTCCAATAACTTTTTTTTTTTTTGTGGAGAATTTCCATTTGGCGGTGATGAATGTATTCTGCTTGCAATGGATTCATCACACTCTTATCCAATGACATTATTCGCTCGCTCTTCCTCCTTCAATTATTTCATTCGCATATTCTCTTTCTCATTATCAATCTTTTCTTATTCCATTCGCGTCCTCTCTTTCTCATTATCAATCTTTTCTTGCTCTTCAAGATACGACCCTTCATATATTTGTATTTTCTTGTCATTCATTTCCTTTCTATCTTCCTTTAACTCCTCTAATAATATTAAAATAAGCAACGCTCCTTCATTTCCACAATCTTTATTCTTTCTTTTATTCAAATGTTCCTTTTCAGTCTTCCTACCCGGTGGTCTTTCGAAGTCTACATTGTCATTATGTGAGGCTTTCTTGTCCTCTAAATTGATTGAATCCGGTGTACAAGGAGAACAAACGCCGGGAGTTGCCACTTTTTTTGTGATTGGTTTCTTCATGCTATATTCCTCTCACCATTTTGGTTGATCTCTTAACTCATGCCAACAATGTTCAAATGGAAATGACAATTTATACAACTCTTTGTATAATTTCTTCGCATCATGAATCTGAATAATAGATAAAAGAACATTAATTATCACGAGATCAGACAATTCCAACAATAATAAGTATAAAAATCTCAATAGCATTAATACCTTGTCTTTTTCAATCTTTCCACTTTGATTCAATCTTTGGATTTGGGCGAAGCACTCACTAAACTTATTCGTGGCAAGTTGAATTGTTGACCAACGATTCATTAAAGAAGTTTGACTACGGTTAGATGAAAACGTTTTGAACTAGTGGAAATACTTCCACACTCTTAGCCAATATGCCTTTGATTTTTGTTTATTCCCTTACACTGGATCTAAGCTAATGTTAAGCCATGCTGATATGAGCATACTGTCTTCTTCTGTACTGAAGTTGCCACATCGTTGTGATTTCTTGGTGGTTTCTATTTGAGGAGAGGTTGGAGAAGATTGATCCTTTTGGTGAAGAGGTTCATCCATAAATTCATAGTCAAGTCTCATCATTCATCAGGTTGGTGTAATATGCACCATTTTGTTGATAATCTATCTATAGATAAGGTAAACATTTTTTAATTCTTAAAACTAAAAATTAATACTGAAACATTACTATTTCCACTGTGAAACACCGTGTGGTATAGCTAAAGATAAAAAAAATTATGGCTTATAATGAAAAAAATTATGGCTTATAATGAACAAAATAAAAAAGCAAAGAAAACTATTTCTACTCTACACATGTTTATATTTGCTAAGATACCTAGGGCTCTAATATTCTACTATCTGTTTAAAGGTCCTTTTTCTAGAAAGTAAAACTGCTTATTGGTTGAGGCTTCTACCACCACAAGCATTTGGATACATTACCATTAACACTCTAGAATGTTGGTTATTGAAATGTGTTGGCCAATAGCTTTTTGAAGGCAATGATGGTGTTATTTGAGGTCAGCTTGTAAAAAAATATATAAATGTCATCTAGATAAGTTTTTCAAACCAGGTATAATTTCCAAATAAAGGAGATAAAAATGAAATGGAGGCAAGTATATGCCTTATTTGAGTGGAGTTTACAAAGATGAGAACTTAGAGGTTGCATTCTTCGTGCCTAACTAGTTGTCAAATTTAAGATTACAAAGATAATGTAAATATGAAACCCAAATAAGATAATGTAAATATGAAACATATATATATATACACAAACCCAATACATATATATATATATATATATATATATATATATTTTCTAACATTGATGATAAATTTACATGCAAATATACAAATAAATAACAATAAAACGAAGACCAAGCACACTCCAAGCAATAACATAAACAGAGCAAGAAACAAACCCAAATCAAGTACTACATGGACATACGCAAACCCCAATCAATATATATTGTTAATCATAAAAATAACAGAGTTGCTGATTGTTGCTGCTGCTTTTTGTATATATATATATACATATATATATTTTTTTGATCAATGAAAAATAAGAATTTTATTGATACTAAATTTATGATATACAAGGAAAACCACTGATAAAGGGAAAGCATACTCTCCTGAAAATAACCCATAAACCCACAATTGATGAGATATCAATTACACCAAACCATCCAATAAACCATAAACCACCCAATAAACAATAACCTATGCTTATCTATAACCATCACCCAAAGCAAAAGAAAAAACAGAGATAAACAGAGCATCACCAAGGTAGCCACCTAATTCAAACCCATGCTCATCTATAACCATGTTCTTTTTTCTTTTTTTTTTCTCTATTAATAAATTTTTTTGTTACTGATCAAATATATATATACAAACACATATACACAACCCAAATCAGTATTTAGATATACACAAAAATTCAACACATATACACATACAAACAAACCCAAATCAAATAATGTTCATAAAACCAAATCAGAAGGTATACATAGAAGGTTTAACTTGTATAAAGTGAGAGACTTGTATGGAGGAGAAAATAGGAGTTCAGGAGGGGGAAATAATGGCAGATTCAATTTGGGGTTTCTCACAAATTGGGGGAAATAATGGCAAATTCAAAGAAAAAGATTCGGAAGCACCAAATTTAAATCTAATTAGTCTATAAGAGCTGTGCATAGATTAAATGAAATGACATACATCTTAATAAGGTCTTACAACTTGAATACAAATAAAATAAGTACATAATACATCTTGATCAAAAGGCTTCTCAAGCCGACATATACAAAAGAAATAAACTACCAAGCCAAGAAGCATAATCTTCAAGATACTACAAAATATGAATCCAAAAACATCTTGAAAATAATCATCTAGACGTTACCACCTTCTTGCTTGTCACCTACATATATATAAGGAGAGGGTGAGCTTGGATACTCAGTGAATGATATAATTAATAAAGGTTTGAATGAATGATATCCGAGATCTTTATCAAAACGATACATATCATAGCTTGTAACAAAACATGGGATGAATCAAGTTCATCAATCAAAGTCTTTCAAAACTTCAAGGGATGCTTACTAGCATCAATATAATACAATGATGACATTCCGGACAAACTCACGCGGTAAACCGTCGGTGGCAAGACAAAGGAGATATCTCAAACAAACGCGCTAGTTACATTATAGTCCCCTAGCACTAAGGACTTTCCAAGAATGTCATCAAAACGAATGTAATACTTGATACAAAAAAACTAAGGATAATCATTCATGCTTGAACAAATACTTTTCCAAAACGAAGCAAGCAAAGCTTTTATCAAACGTTAGAACATAGTTTTATTAAAAATACCACTCACTTAGTTCTTCGGGTGTGGGGATTACAAGCAAGGATCCAGGGCTTACAAGTACATAATAAATCCCATTGAATGCATTTCAAGAAGACAAGGAGAGATGCTCAAAGATGGATATGAAATGCATTCCTAAAACAAGCTTTGCATGAGTGTAATGTTCTCGGCATTTCTTTTAAAACTAAGTCAAGACAACGCAAAACATTTGCTGGGAGTTAAAACACTGTTTCTCATCTCGAGAAAACATGCTGAGTTCCAACCAGGTCTTGGCCGAGGTCCCACACTTCTTGGCCGAGGTATGGTCTCCTAGGCCTAGGTGTGTATCTAGGCAAGAGTGGGTCTCAGTGACCACACTTAGGGAAATGTGAAGTCTGAAAAATCTAGGTTTCCTTTTGAAGAACATGAAGAACATGAATGCCAAAATCATAACTTCTTTGTTCAAAATCTGAGATTTCATGAGGTGAGTTTAAAAGTATGGACCTGGGTACCCGTACTTGAAAACCTTCTTGAAAACAAACACAAAACATGGAGCTTGTTATAAACTTTCGGATCAAAACATGGTTTTAATTCAAGAACACAAGAACATCATTTTCTCTTTCCAAAACAAGCTTTAAATCAATGCATGGCTCATGAATCATTGTAGATCATGCAATGCGATCATATGAACATAAGGAATAACAAGAGTAGATCAAGAATCTAACCTCAAAACATGAATCTAACGGTTTAAGGTGTGAAGATCAAGCTTGGAAATCTATTCTCACTCTAAGAACTCTTCTTTCTCTCTTTCTAGAGCTTCTCTCTCTTCTAAGACAAAGATATAACAAATGGTATGTTTTCTCACTCTACCGGCTGACTTAACCCTCTTTTGGGGCACGTGGCAACGAGTGGTTGGCTCTCCTAAAAAAGATGACTGACTGACAAGACAAGAGCATGACAAAATGTGTACAACAAGCAAGGTGACAAGGGCACTCTAACAAGGTAAGGACCTCGGGTCAATACATAGGCTTCAGTAAGTAAGGTCTCAATGATTTTGGCTAGGAAGGATAACACTTGACCTAGCTGTGCCACACTTCGGCCTAGATGTGCCACACCTCGGTCTAGGTCATTCCAATCCCGGAACAAGATCACTAGGTGCAAGGTTCAAGGATGTTGGATGCCTAGATGATAACATCTCAGCCTAGATGAT